ATCCATAGAAGTCTACGAAAGACTTCCACTAATTCCATACAAATCTTTAAAAGATCCACGAAATCTACAAAAGTCATCACTTAAAAAAAGTTCATTAAAGTTTTCAAAAGTCCCAATTGAATACACCCCCCTAAATCATTGGCAACTGTACTTTATCTTAAATTACCACTTGCTCATTGAACTAAAAAAAAAATACCGACTCCTCACTTATTTATTCAAATGTTTACCCATTCATCACCCCGTTTAGATTCTTTGTCAAAATTAATAGAAAACTCCACGTGTGTAAACGAAAGGTTGACCTGACACATTTATGCAGTTAATTTATCCTCTTGGATTAAAAATAAAATAAAATTTAAAAACCCAAATTACAAACACAAAATTCATGTATTGGAATAAAATTAAAATCCCCCAAATTCTATTTTTATTTTTTATTTTTAAACCCCCCCCCCAATTGCAATAGACAAATCTTCATACATTCTTGTTCTTAAATTCGTTCTTATTTATTATTGGTGAAAGATATTTGTTCAAAAAATATATAAAAATAAAACAAAAATTTGAGGGTTTTTTATTTTATTAAAACACGAGGATTTTTATTTGTAATTTGGGATTTTTAATTTTTTTTTAATCCAAGTGGATAAATTAGCGGTATAAATGTACCAAATCAGCTTTTCGTTTGCACACGTGGATTTTTTCGTCAATTTTGGCAAAGAATTTAAATGGAGTGATGAATGGATAAACATTTGAGTAAATGAGTGAGCAATGAGTAACCTTTTTAGTTCAAGGAGCAAGTGGTAACCTAAGGTGAAGTACAGTAGGCAATGATTTAATTAACTCGGTATTATTTAGAAGTTTAGATAGCTTTTTATTTTTATAACTCCATTGAAATTCTCTATAGAAATCATTGTTATAAATTCTATTATTTTTCTGCGGTTCTTTATTTTTCTTTTAATTTTATAAAACTTTATCAACGCGAGTTCTAGCCAAATGAGGTTGTGATAATTTTTATGATGTGAATTTGTTAGAATGAAAATTAATTATTAAAAATATAAGTTGATGAGAAATTTGAGCGAATGGTACGAGGAACTACCATTTATGCAATTGTAGAAACTTGATGAATGTAGGTTCTTCAAGGAAATTAAAATCGTGTCAATAAATAGAATAAAATAATTGCAGGGTTCGTATATAATTATTGATTTTCTTTATAATCAAGTACTTACCTTTGATTAAATGTGGGGTTAATGAATTATTATTTTCCTAATCTTATGGTATTTAAGTTGCATGATCTAAACATATCGATTTAATATTAATAAGAAAATGTTCCAAAATAAACATTTATTTATATTGTACCAATAATCTTGTAAATATTATGCTATCAATACTCCACAAAAAGTATAGTTCAGTATATTAGGTACATTTCCTTTAAAAGAAGCAAAAATGTAAACTAATATTACAGGAAAATAATATATTGTAGCTTCTAAAGAATATAAATATACTAATATATGTATCAGATTGTTATTTTGAAAAAGTACTACTCAAGTACATAAATATTGAAGGAGAATATTATTTTCTTACTCGTAAATAAATCAAAACTTTATACATATTAATATTCAATTTAGAATATTGCTTTGATCCTGAAAATAATTTTATCCATATCAATATTTTTGTGTTATTGCTCTAGAAAAAGCATTTATATTATATTAGTTATGAGGAAGACTATTTCATAAATACCAACTTCAGAAAAATAATGTAATTACTACTCTTGTGGAAACATAAATTTATTGGAATCACTATTCCATAAGAGTATTGTATCGTTCATGAAGAAGCATGAAATTTTTTGAAGACTATGTCCCATTGTGTGTTGAATAAGCACAATTTTTTGGGAAAAGAAATGAAAAAACTATTTGACTATGGGGCTGTCATTTTTGAAGAATCACAAATTTATAAAAAGTAATATTCCATAATAATATTGTACTATCACTCCCAGAGAAGCACGACTCTTGTATAAGAATATTAAATGATTGTTCTCAAAGACCATAAATTTTATAAATAAAAATTGTAGAAGAATATCATACATGTAATCTCGTGACAAAAAATATTAGCATCTGTACACCTATCTAATATTCTGTATATAATTTTGTGTACTAAAAATATTGAATGGTGCTCCTTGGCCACTACGACCACGACCATATGTTCTGTTGAAATTATTAGCATTTGCTCTTATGAAACTTGAATGTCGAAGAAAAACGAGAGAAATTTATGGTAGTGGGTGCAAGGAAAAAAAAATAGAAATCTCATATAATTTTTTTGTTTAAATGTTCCAATGTGGTATAAAGCAAGGGGGAAAACGAGAAACACATATATTTTTGAGTTTGAGGAAATTGGTTATAAAAAAATAAATGTGATGAAAGATAAATGTAAATTTTTAAAAGGGTTAGTGGTATCCTTGTAATAATTAGAAACCTCGAGGGTTATTGTAATTTGGTCTGCAATTGTCCACTAATTATAATAAAACTACATTTCAATAGCAATAAAAGTTTTTAACATTTGCTCATTGTCATACTTATGTCCCCCAAAATTTTCTCCTCATTCTTATTTCAACATTTCATTGTTTACATATCTTTGTCTCTATGACAATTTCTGTACAAAAAATTTGTGAGTAGGACATAAAAGACTTATTTGTCCCTAATATTTTCAAATAACCAAAATAATAAACAGAAATTATAGTGTGAAGACGATTAACAAAATTTTATACGTGCCATAGAATGTTAAGTATGAAAATGAAAAATCCCAACAACAGAAACATATGTGAAAACATGGAGACCATCATCAACGAATCCTTAGACGTGTACAATTAGTTAGGAGTTAACTTTATTGAGATACTACACTTAGTCATGTGAAGTCGACGAGCAACTTACAAGCCCTACCCATAGTACCTGAAGGCCTTTAGGTGGCCACTAGGAGGTTTGTGATTTGTACTTCAGTTCAAAAATGCGTATAACAATGAAAACATCTAGGTATAAATACATTAACATGACACTATACTAGTCACTTTAGTGGTATTGTAAGTGGCATGTATGATAGTTTCTACTGTTAATTGTGGTATGTTTTGCTTCTCATCGTTAAGTTAATATTTGTAGGTGTTGAAAGTCTTGTGCTCGTATAAAAATTTGTGAAAAAAGATCGTGTTTTACATCTATTGAAATTTGTTGCATCTTATACACATTCATATGTACTAATAGATATATGAATAAAAATAGTAACAATTGAGGTTGCATGTCCGCATTAAGCCATCAATGCTGTAATTCGCTCGATGTCTACTCAACCATTATTAATTTTAGAGTCGTCCGAATAGCTTGGAACTAGAAATGAAGCTCAACATACCAACTAGAATGAAATTATCAAGAAGGAATGATATTTCGCCTCCCATGTTACAAGGCACAATAAATAATGAAAAATAAAAAACTATAAACTTCAAAATTGATAATTCTATATCTTTATAAGTGGTACAATCTTTAACTAATTCAACAAGTCCAATACACTATAGATACATGCCAATACTCTATTCAACACTATGCCAATTAAAAATCGTATTAATGATGCATTCTCTACTAAGATTTTAATGAATTTTAAAAAAATATAGATTTTAATGAATTTCGTGAATTTGAATATATTTTCGCAGAATTCGTAAGAATATCATTAAAAGTTATGAAATCTTAAAAGAGTTTGTTGTGTGTATTGTTAAACTTGAAACCATACAAATATTTTGAAATTTCTTTATTAGTGAAATCCTTATATATTCGCGAGTTATTAAGGAAACTTAGATTTTAAATTTTTTTATTGAAATTCATTAGAATTTTAGTTGGGACACGTAGATTTTAGTAAAATTCAATTGAAGATACCCAAATTTAGAAGGACTTTTAAAATCCATTAAAATCTCAGTTAATGATACTTCTATAAAACTTGGCCAAAATACGCATGAACCTGTTTTAAAAGCTTTGGCTTGAGCATTATAGTATCTTCAACCACCCATTTCCTTACTATCAAGTTGTCAAACTCAAAACATGCTCACAACACTTTATTTTACATGTTTG